CCGATCTACAGGCTTGTTTGTTGGATTTAAGTCTGCCAGACGCTATTGACTATTGTAGCGTTTGTCAGTATGTAGGTTTTCAGGATCAGGCAATACTAGGAAAAAAAAAAAAGAGTAGTTGTACAACTTCTGTTCTAAGCCATTCTTCTTGAACCTTTTCTAGTCTATGCAGATGGTAGTATATGTCTGGATATTCTTCAGAATCGTTGGAGTCCTACTTATGATGTCTCCTCCATCTTAACATCCATACAGGTAAAAAGAACTCTGCATGAAAAGGCAGAATGGAATTAGCATGCTTTGACAAAAACAGCTCAGGAAACACTTTTTCTTTTTTTTCCTCCTGATAGCCAGTATAGCAGCTATACCTTGATATTTGCTAAAGTATGAATACTTCCCTGATGTAAATTGACTATACAGTGACAGCAGGTGGTCACTACAGACACCCATCCAGCCATTGCACTCCGTGGGTATTGCTGCTCGGCTGCCAGTTAAACACTTGCACTGCTAAGAGGAAGATGGATAGCAAAAGCTTCCAGTAACTTCCAACTGTAGTAGTGCAATGATGTACCTTACCTGTATCTAGATCAACTTCTGCATGCTTATTAGTATGGATAGTTTAAGTAATATGTTGGAAAACTATGCATACTTTCAAGTGCCTAAGAATGTTTTTCTCTCTGCACAGTCTCTATTGGATGAGCCAAATCCTAACAGTCCAGCAAACAGCCAGGCAGCTCAGCTATACCAAGAGAATAAGCGGGAATATGAAAAACGGGTTTCTGCAATAGTAGAACAGAGCTGGCGTGACTGTTGACCCAGGATGATGCAAATGAACACTCTGTTGATGAGGAAAATAAACAAAGTGTCTGAGTCATCTTTTTCCTCCTAGCATTTACTTTGAAAGCAGAATAGCTGTTGTGCTGTTGCCACCCTCCCTTGCTGAAGCTTCTTCTCCTTGGACATCAGAAAGCACCCACTTTGAAGTCAAATGTTCTGTACTTGGGTTACTTGCAAAAGAGTTACTGATGCTGAATTCATTTTCTGTGGTCCCTCTCCAGTCTTAGGGCAGTATTGTGCATTTCTGTAGTGTACACTAAGCTTTTAATTGTAATTGTGTTATACACAGTGATGCTTATGTGTAGCTTGATAAAAGGGATGTTTATATACATACACATTTTTAAACTGATATTAACTAAAGTGCTGATCTGTCCAGGCTGGTCATTTACCTCTACTATTGGTTTAGACCCCACTGCATTTGTAAGTACTGAGTGAAGAAATAACCTCGTTTCCCTTTTGTATTGGTTTATCAACTCCTTATTCGTGGAAAAAAAAAACTCTAAACCGATTCCAATTCAAATATTTAGTAAGACTGTGGAATGCTAGTTACTTCTGCACTTCACATGCAAGATTTATGTACAGATATACATAAATCACTACAGTTGTGGTACTTTGATCTTTGCTTAGGGTGAGAAACAACCCCCTTTTTTTTATTTTATTTTAAAGGACATGCCTACAGAGACTGCTTCAATAAGTTTCTATAGTCCTGTCACTGAGGCATTACTGGACAAAACCAGGTAGAGCTGTGGTACTCTGGGCGAAAGACCTTCCACATCAGAAAGAGGTAAAACCTGAAGTGTTCCAGCGGTGGAATTATTCTCATTTGGTGTCTTTCATTTCCCCCTTATCTTTAGCTGAGAAAGATAAGTTCTTTGGGATCCAACTTTGCCTTGTGGAAAGCGTGAATAAAGTACGGGGTAGGCACTTGAGTCTCTGCAGTTTCTGCTCTTCGTAGATTACTGTGTGGTTTGTGTGAGCTACTGCTGCATGCTTTAGTTTCCCTTCAGTTTTATGAAAGTATTTTTTCAACTCTGAAAAAACATTTGTAAGTCCAGACTCACTTTTTTTGTAAGGCTAAGTTTCTACATTTGGATACAGTACCTTAAGCAGCAGTGTGGGATGAAACCTACAATTGTGTTGTCCACTGTTCCAGTGTCTTTTGTGTGCACATTGGTCTGTTGAGAAGTTTAACTTTGCACAAGTAACCCATGTAAGAAACTGTACATTTTTCAAAAGTTGTAAATAAAGTGTAACCTTAGTGCTTATTGTATAAATAGGCAAGAGGTGTATAACTGTGGTTCTTTTAACTGAGATGGTAGGAGTCTGTTGTGGGATCAAGCTCCAGGTAGACTCTCACAGCAGGACTGGGAAGTGCTTCCGGACCCTTGGGGCAGAAGGTCCTGCGGTTGGGGCAAGGCTGTGCCAGCTGGAGAGTGGGGACAATACACAGCCCTGCAGCCGGGAGGAGGCGTGAGGGGCAAAGGAGGAAACACAGGCTGAGAAATGGAGAAGCAGACACAAGTCTTAACCAAAAAAAAAAATCACCTTCAGGAAGCTCAGCACTGTATCATGCCTATGAGTGAACTGTTGACAAAAAAAGGAGCCTATGCTAATGAGTTAGTTACAGCAACTTAATGGCCTCAGTAACAAATCGATACAGGAATTGTATTTATTTTCCTCCTGTCTTCTAAGGGAGAGAACAGGATTTAAAATGACTGACACATAACAAAAACGAGTACTGCTGCTTAGTTCTACAATTAAGATAGGAGCTGCCAGGCTCTTTCAAAAAACTGTATCAGGATTTGTACCTGCTGTGGCAACAGCTCAATAGCCCAAACAGGTCTTTTGTCTTACATTGAACAGCCTTTTACTGGTGAAGTCCTACCTAAGTTACAATTGCTTGTTTTCCTAAAGGACAGTGTCTTAACTGGGCCATCATAATGGCTAGCTGTGGCAGTCCCTTAGGTGTGCGTGGAGCAGGCAGGACAGGGTGAGTCTGCCTCCAGTAATCCTGTTTGTTTCTTAAGCATTCCCTCTGCAAGACAGTCTCAAGTCAGAGCCAGTCAAGCAATGAGCACCGTAGTTACACCCACTGTTATAGACAAGTGCAAAAAAACCCCAACAAACCACCCAACCCCACTGCCTGCGCTGACAAGGAGAACTGACGCCAGCCCCGAGTACTTTAACCACTGCCCCTGCACCAGCTGTAGCGATTTCTGCAACCTATTGCAAGCAGGACCCTTTCTGAATGGTCCCAGTCATTCTGATGTCACAGAAGCCCTTGCATCAGTCCCTCCATTTTTCTAGTTGTCTTGCTACTCACTAAAAAATAAAAAATTAAAAAAATCTTAAGGCAGTGAGAAACAAGAGCAGCACAGAGCTGGGGTGGGAAATCTCAGCTTTACACTGCTCTTCACGCAGGTCTTCATCCACTAACTTCATTTTAAACCCGGTACTGGCTCTCCAGCAAGATTATAGCTGTATAAACACCCCGGTGGCAGCAAGGCTGGCAATGCCTTAGCTCAAACAAGTAACACCCAGTTACCCACACCTACAGCCACTAACTAGGCAGGACGGCAACAGCCGGGTCCTGCACAGCAGCACCGCACTTGGCAAAGATGGGGGCTGAGAGTCACAGCTGCTACCCAGGACAGGGACAGTACCGCCCTGCACAGATTGATGCGGGACGGCGACCCCTGCTGAGGTACCCTCACGTTTAGCCTGTGCTGTGTCCCCCCCACCCCAAAAGAGGCATTTTTCATCCCAAACACTGCAGTGGTGCTCTCAGCACAGTCAAGTTAGGGAGGGGGAGCTGCGCACCGGAGTGCAGGAATATCTGCCTAGAAAGTACCAGGCTGCTTCCACTCCTACGTCACCATCTGCTACAGCCCAGCATTTTGGAGAGCAGAATTCAGGAGAGGGAATAATGCGCACAAAAAAACCCAAAACAACAAAACCAAACTACGAAAACACTTTCAGAATTAACTGCCAGATTATTTTTCCTACAAAGACAGCACCAGCATGTTTGTAGTCTGGAAGTCCAAGCCAGCAGCAGCTGTGCTGCAGCCATCCAGGCAGGGAGGAGGGCATGCTTGCGCTCTTCTTCCTGAGCGAGTCTTCCCTGCCAGAGCAGCCTCTTCCTTTTCACACTGTGGGGATGAAAGTGCCTCTAACTGCATCTCACCGGGATATTCTGCTTCATTGGTCAAGGTCAGTCACCCCCTCCTCAGCCCTGAAAGTATTTAAAAGGAAAACAGAACAGGAGGTGGGGAAAAAAGGTAGAGGATGATGTAAAAAGATGGAGAGGCAAATACAGGCAGCAGAAAAACAAAAGCAATTGCTGAGACACAACAGGAGAACAGACAAAAATTACTTCATTAGGACTGACTTTGCGCTGAGGAATCATCAGCGGGCCCTACTGGTGACAGAAAAACCCAGCATCTCTCCACACATCTCACTCTTGGCTCTTCCAAGGTCAATTCCTAACCTCCAGGTTTGCCAAGCATGAAGCCAGCGCTCCTTTCAAGGCTCACAAAGCACGGTGTCCTGCGGCACTGCCGGCGGATCAGCACAGGCGAGGTGAGGCTGCTTCCCTGGCAAGGAGCGCGCGCTCCGGCCTCCCGGAGAGAGGCCACGCTCACACCACACGTCAGAGCAACACCAGAACGTTTACTTGTGAATCGCCCTTGACATACACAAGCACAGGTACAGTGACGGAGCAGAGAAATAATTAGGCACAGATTTGATTTTGCTCGGGATTAAAGAGCTTATATTTGAAGTAAAAAAATAAGTTATATAACAGTCCCCACAAGCTCCAGGAGCATCTTTGCTGCGTGGGCCCTGTGTTTACCTCCAGTTTTTATATTTCACACTTTACCGTGGTATTTGCACATGTCAAGGCAAAAATGTACTGGAATTATCTTAGTCCGATACACTGAGGATTAAGGTGCATTCAGGAATTCTCAGTATGGGAGACTCAAGGTAGAAACCTATGAATAAAAGCATACTGTGAAACTGGTTAAGGACATCTCTCTACATACATACATGGCAGAGACAAGAGTGCTATATATATTTCTCAAGAATAAACACAGTTTTTCACACCTTTTTTTATACAAAGTGTGACAAATCCTGTTTTTTTCCAGAAATAAAACTTTATTTTTATTGTCATTAATACCAACTTTACATACAGGTTTACTCCCCCAGACTGCATTTCCTTTGCTTTTTATTATTTTACTTTTTTTTTTTTAAAAAAAAAAGGCATTTTTTTTTCCTTCCTTGGTCAAGAAGAATAAGGGAACTATAATTTTAAATTATGTCAAATTCCTTCTTGTTGGACATGTGTTTTTTTCTTATTATAAAACTATTAAAATGTGAAGGAACAAGTAATATCAAAGACACATACAGTAACAGCACTACTGCTTTTGGGTTGTGCTAATATACTTGGACAGAACTTGGTCAAGTTCTAAATGTCTAACAACATTTTAGAAATTATATTAACGACGTAAAAGACTTTAGCGTTAATATAACCCACAAAAAGAAAAATGCAGCATCTCTTTCTTCAATCCAGTATCTAGGAAGCTCAGTCTCCAGTAAAACGGGACACCTAACCTCAGTTTGCTTGAGGCATAATAAGCTCATAATGCCCAACCTGGCCTTCTTGCTTCAGCTGGTCTAACAGATCTTCCTTGCGCCGCTTCCTGCTTACCACCAAGTATCTGTTGTGGCCCTGCCCATGAGATTTACTTTTAAGACCATATTTTTGGGCGATCTGATGTATCTGCTTCCGCTCGTCCATGGTCAGTTCTCTAGAGAAAGTCAAGTCAATGTGACTGTCTGAGCGTGCATAGTTCCGAATGATCTCTTCAATATCTCTTTTAGCGATTTTGTTCACCCTTTCTACATCGAGCCCAAGTCCTTCCCTTTTAAACTGCTCCTTCACTGAAATCGGCTCTCTAATTCCTTCACCATCTTTCCCTAGCCACCGCCTGTCCAGCCCATCTTTCTTAAAATTTGATTCCCAATGTTGTCTTCTTTGATCTTCTGTTTGAAAGCCTCTTCCGCTGATCGACCCCGAATCTCATTTCTGGAGATGACGTCTTCGACGGTGCCTTTCTTCAGGTTATTAACAACAGTTGGCTGAGTCTTTTTGAGGATTTTCACAGCTTCCTCTGCTGCCTCATGCTTGACAGATTTCTTCACTCCAACTGCTTCTGCGATGAATTCGTCTTCAAGCAGCACCTTGCATTTCCATCGCATGCCAGTCATCCTTTCAAAGACATATTCCACCGTCATCTTGTTGAACTGGGCGGTGTCATTCAGCGTACACACTGGATTGCTGGAGTTCTCATAAACCACGAGGTCCTTCAGGTCCTTCTTCCTTCCGGAGCCCCGCGACGAGCAGCCCACTTTCTGAACCTGGGTCACCTTGATGGCTGCTATATTTGACTGCACCTTCTGCAGAATTTTCAGTGCCTCCTCAGCTGCTGCATGCTTGCTGGTCTTTTTAGTGCCAAACCCCTCGGCTAGGCAGTGATCTTGTAGATACACCTGACAACGCCACGAGCGGTTGGGCATTAATTCATATTTATATTCAACAGACATTTTGTTATATGAGGCAGAATTATTAAGTATTCCTATTGCGTCGCTGGCATTCTCTGTCAGGACAAAACTAGTCCAGTGTTTGTTGGTATTAGTGGAACCTTTCACGGATTCAGTACCAGGCTGCATCGGGACACAGTCCCTGTTGGCAACTACAAACTCCTCATGAGGTTTGAGAGCAGGAGGGAAATCTGGGCGACTCACGCCTGCCTCACACACCACCAAGTCTTCGTGATAGGTGTGCTTGAACTTCCGCTGAACAACTCTAACTTCCACAGACTTCTTGAGCAGCTTGACTGCCAGTTCTGCCGCACGATCCCTGGATCCGTTTTTGCTGCCGGCATAACCGGTGGCCAGGTAGACATTCTGACATCGCACTTCACAAGCGAAGCCATCTGTTAGGAGCTTCTTGCTCTTGGGGAGGTCAGCAGGGGCGATTTCTTTCAAAGGAACATAAATATATTCAGGATTTGTCTTGCATGCCTGAATTGAACGTGTCAAAAGATACGTAAAGTTAATTTTATCAGTCCCAGTGTTTGCATCTGGGTTAGTAAGATTTTTCCAGACAGCTGCTGACAGTTTCTCGACAAAACTCTGCTTCAGCATTATAGCTGACGGAGGGAAAGTCTCTGATGCAGACTGGACAGTTGAAGGAGAAATAGAAACCTGCAACATGTTGCTTG